TCGGGAAACCCCCCCGCGGCTCTTCGCACCCCTTCGACGCCCGGGCGAACTTTGCGAAAGCCGAGAGAGTCACGGAGTTGCGAATGCACCGGTCGCGCATTACAAGCTCGCAGCCGCTTCGTTCCGCGGGTTTCCCTCAATAATGGAGCGAGCCAAATGGTCTAATTTACTCGATGTCTAGGCGGGCGGCTTGAATATGCATATGTGACCGCCGACACGGCGATAACGATGGAGGCGACGACAACGATGAGCCGACGAACGCGTCGCGCCGCGTCGCATCGCATTGCAGCGTGTCGCATCGCTCAGGATAGGCGCGTTCAACACCGCGAGTTATGCATACTGCACACTGGCCGCATACGAAGCGCAAAACGGACGCGTGCCGACAGGTATGCGCGCACGTGTCCGTATCCCGCGCTCCGTCGTACTCGGGCTGCATCTCTTCATACCTTATTAGGCGTCGTTCAGCCTCGCCTACGTTCGAGCACTCACCGAATTGGGTCACTCGAGATGCATCGCGACACGCCGCGACGCGTTGTACGCTCAAGCCTGATCCACAATGCTCTTTGCGTCTAGAAACATTCTATTTTCTAGTCAATAAATACGTTTAAAACATTTGTGCGAGTTGATTGATTGTATGTTACACATCGCACAATCGTCGACAAATTTTTTAGCATTTTAATTTGTACAAAACAGAATGTTTCTAGATGAAGAGAGCACATTGTAGAATAAGCTTCGATCACCTGGAACCTGAGACAGACCTTCCGGCGCGCGCGCGCGCGGCCATGTGCCTCCATCGATCTTTCTTCCGCCCTCGATCTTGTAATCGACGACTCTTCTCGGCATATCTTTGCATTAATTAAAGTAATATTTTCCGCTTTTCGGCGCGACGACATTGTCTCTTTAGCGTAGTGGGGCTGTAGGACAAACTGTATTACGATTACGGAAAAATTCGCTGGTACTAAAGGTGTGCAAGTCATGCTTTTGTGTGGTCGAATCGAATCGAATATTCTCTTTTGGACCGACAGTGTTCCACTATTCGGATGAAATCAGAGAATAGTATGGTATCGCTGAAATTAAGTTTAGAAGCCTAACCAAAATCTGTTCACTCGAATAAGTTATAGGTTACATTCGAGTGAATAGAGTTTTTGTTAGGTTTCTAAGCGTAATTTCAATGGTACCATGCTGTTCTCTGATTTAGTCCGAATAGTGAAACGCTGTCGGTCTGCACCTAAAAGTTACGTAATTTGAATATTACGCAAATGTTTTCATAAATTGACAGTTCTAGATGCAAAAAGCGCAAAAGGTACTGAATCACTGCAACATCCCTTAAGGGATTCTGCACTTTTTGCACCTTTTTCTCCTAGAACTGTTAATTCATGAAAACATTTCTGTAATACGCCAATTATAAGGCTTGTGCGTACAAGTCGAAAGTGTTCCGCTATTCGGACTAAATCGGAGAACAGCGCGGTATCATAGAAATTAAGTTTAGAAGCCTAACAAAAAATCCATTCACCTATAACTTCTTAGAGTGAAATAAATTTTGTGTTAGGCTTCTAAACTTAATTTCAATAATGCCGTGCTGTTCTCCGATTTAGTTCGATTAGTGGAACACTATCGGCCTGTACATTGTCCATTAATAATTTGTTTCATTCCCCTAGCGAGTTTATACAGGATACCTTATTATACATATCCTATATAAATTTGCTAGTGGAATGGAACGAATTATTGACGAGCAATATACACAAAAGCCACATAATTTGTATAATACACAAATGTTTTCATGAATTGACAGTTCTGGGAGCAAGAGGTGCAAAAAGTGCAGAATCCCTTAAGGGATGCCGTGTAATATACAAATCATGTGGTTTTTTTTGTACAGATCGACAGTGTCCCACTATTCGGGACAAATCAGAGAACAGCATGGAATCATTGAAATTAAATTTAGGAGCCTAACGGAAAATCTATTCGCTTAAATAAGTTACAGGTTAGGGTCCCTATAACTTATTTAAGTGAATAGATTTCTTTTTTGACTTTTAAACTTAATTTCAATAATATCATGCTGTTCTTTGATTTAGTCCGAATAGTGGTACACTTTCGATTTGTGCGCCCAAGCCTTACAATTCGTGTATTACACAAATGTTTTCATGAATTGACAGTTCTAGGAGCAAAAAGTGCAAAAGGTGCAGAATCACTTCAGCATCCCCTTAAGATCGTCCTAAAATCATCTCTAGCTCCGTAGCGTCAAATAAAATGTTGCACGCAGCATCTTAAAATAAACGTAAGACAGTCTTAAATATACATAAGATCTGACTATGAATACCGGCCAATATTAATCGGCGTAAAACGAACTGCCTTTGACCGCCGTCACGTTCGCGTGCCGGCCACTTTCCAAACGGTGATATCCGGCGAACGTAATGCAATTTTCATCGCGAGACTCGCATGCTGCGCGCAGACGGCTTAACGACGAAACGAGGCGGTAAATGTCCCTTTTTCGCCTACGGGGAAATGTGCCGCGACGAGAAAAAGGTTGCGCCGCAAAAATAGGCATTAGCTAAGGTACGTTAGCTCTTCCATTGAAAGGGGTAGCGACGCCGCCCCCGTCTAGGAATATCTGCTTTCAGATGCGCTCTTCGCCGTTAAGTACTTGATATTTCGTTAATGAAAAACTCGTTTGCGCGACGCGGTTTCGTGCGAGGCGAGCCGGCGCTCTCATTATGCGCAAATAATTTGACGCGGGGATAAATAAAACATTAAGCGCCGGCCTTTCGCGGCAAGGAGGTGGATTCTCATGCGAATCAGCGCCGCGCGCGCACAATAGTTGGAGTTATTAATTTAATCCCCCGCGTTCCCGACACGCTACACGTTACATTACGCGGTATTATGTCCATTAAAATTATAACTCGCGTTAGCGACGCGCCGGCATCTCCGTAATATCAATTTATTTAGCGCGCGTCGTGCCGCGGATAAGATTCTTAATAAACGCTCGGGGACTTCCCTTATATCGATAAGCTCCGATATTCTCGCGCGGGAGATCGATAATTCGCCGATGCCGCGGAAAATTTAATTTGCGCGTAATTGGATATCACCATGTCCCTCGCCGCGTCTCGCTTTCGTCGTTTCGTCGTACGGAAATCAGCGTCGGCAGCCGGCGCTCCGCCGTCGGATCCCCGATAGAGGACTCGGTTGCAGGAAGCGCCCGCTTAAATGGGATTTAAGAGTCTCGAGGAAAAAGTAACGAACGCGCGTCAAACCCATGCTCGAATCTATCGAACTTTATTACTAACCGGCAATACGCGTTATCGGAGACTCGTTTACCCGGCTCGGAACGCGGGAGTCGATTAATTTTGCGGGAGGGGAGGGAGGGCGCCATCGGAAAATTTCCTAATTAGCTTTCATTATACCCGCGTGGGTCTTAAATTGACTTGCCGTTCGCTGTATAAATATGAGAGAGACCTCGGGGAGAAGGTCGGGACGCGAAGGAACCGAGGTATCCTCTCGCCGTTGCTCGTTCCCTTTTCAGCCTCTCGGCCCTCGCGCTCTCGTCTTGGCTGGTGGATCGCGTCACGTAAAGGGGATGAAGTATAAAGTAAATAGCCGTCACGGCCGATCGACGCTTAGATATTAGGAAATTCGTTGATCCGGTTCGCGCTGATGGCCGTCTCCATCCGGAAGCTATTAGAGGAATCTGCTGGATCAAACAGCTGGTCTTAGCGCGCGATATCTCGTTGGCTTATCTCGATGACGATAATTTGGTTTGGTTCACATCGTCGCGCTGATTGCATTGCGCATTCTTCGGCGTTTTAGATACGCTGTAACGAAAATGATGTGGGGGAAGGGGGGGGGGGGATAAACGACGATCGATGGGTTGTATTAAGGGTAGACACTTCTTTTTCTCCATCGAGCCTTTTTCTAATTTTGTGGAATATCGCCCGACCCGATTATATCGGCAGTTGTTATTTATAGCGCCGCGGAGCGAAGGAGCCCGAGAGGATGCATCGGTGACTTCTCGTCTTATACAGTGTAACGTATTACATCGCTCGGCGTCTAATATTAATCTTCCCACTGGATACTGATAACTCTCATTTACGCTCTTGGCGCGGGAGTTTCGAAATTTAATTTTGATTTTCGTTGAGGAGAAGCTACACGTAAAATAATCCCACGATTGGTTTCATACGATGTAAAGCAGTGTTATCGTCTATTTGAATTTATAGTCTTCTAATTTAGTGTTGACTTTCTCCTCCCACATAATGACGGCCGTTACAACGATAGCGTATAATGTCTACAGCTGTGCGTGGATAATTTCTAAAATTACACAATAATATCTGCAGCTTAGAAATTAGGAAAATCTTGCGCGATTAAGATCGAAGCTCTAAGCTTTTACTTTCGAGGACTCAACGGTTATAAACTGGCAACCGAGTTAAGCACGGCTGTTGCGATAGTACGGATGCGTATTGGCTGGCGTGAGTTTACATGTCTGGAGAACCGACTGCAACAGCCGACGCCACCGCAGAATTTCAGTCCCGAGGGGCAGTGCTAAACAAGTTTCTAACATACATACATACATGCATAACCGCGCCAGTCGCGCCCGTTGATCGGTTATTCAATCAAGCTCTCCTGTCCGGGGGATATACAGAACTTGACAAAATTCACTAAGGGAATCCGGTGTGAGTTGGCGTTTAAAACGCAATTAGAAATGGAGAGGATACTTGTTGTTTTAAGCGCGAAATATACTCGAGCGACAAAATGTCTAGGCCCCGGCTCCGCGATTCAACTAGTGCGAGGAACAAAATATTCGTGCGTTTATTTTACAGCGAGTGCCAAATATTTCGTGATAGGTTTTGTTGCGTGCGGAAACGCACCGTATTGGTGGTGCTAATTATTTTCAGCGAGCTGAGAACGGCGGGTGTGTCGCGAGGGACGATTGCACCCCCGCTTTTCCGCGCGACCGCGTCTCTCGAGAAATACCAACGCGCTTCTCCTATTATCGCGCTCTCTTTCTTTACAACGTTACGTACTTACTATTGTATACGCAGCACTTCACCCCACGACCTTGTTTACGCTCGCGCGGCGTTATTCGAGCCGGCGATCTCCGCGCGTCGAGGCGCGAGTCATTATCTTTCGAAACGTGGTCGCGGCAGGTATCGGAAGTCGAACGCGATCGTCTCTTATAATTCGCGTCTCTTAATCTGTGGAATTAATGCGTTCCCGTGATTGACTACTCGAAAGTGACCGTGTCGTGGCGACAATTGTCTCTCGCAACGGATACATCTCGCGAGGATCATTTATAACATGGTAAGAATCGGAGCAACGGATAAGAGAAATCGTTTTCTGATATCCGCACGACGCAATTATTCCTCCAGCAGTGCTTGGATCTCGATCGAGCCAGATATCTCGCGTGATTCACCTATTAGCGGTAGGAATCGAAACGGGAAATAGGAAGCGAATTATAAATGATATCGATTTATTGTAATATTTACGGGCAATTGTTTTCTTAACGATTCTCAAATCCGAAGCTTGCATCGTGCCTCACATCTTGCCGCGATTAATGTGCCAAGCGAAATGTAATTACGCTTAATTATTTCCGGATTGAGAGCACAGAATAAGACGTGAACAATAAGTGATTCAAGAGAACCGACAGATCGATTTGTAACCATGCGAATGTTTTCGCGGAATTTACTCTTTCACTTACACACTTTCGTACTGTATGTTAAAATAATCTCTTTAATGAATGCGTGCTATTTGTTTTACAGATCGTGCAGCATCGCGAACGGCAACGATCCTGGCAATACGAAATTCCTCCCCGCTTTGAAAGTCGCTCGATACTAGACATCGCGAGTGCCGAATGGATTACACGACCGTCGTTTCTCCTCGCAATACAGTAAAGCACGCGTTTCGCAAGTGTAACGTTTCGGTAGTACCGTGTAAAGTGCCGCGCGATTATCGTACTTTTTCATGATTATTGCTGGAACTGATCGTGTTTTCGCGATTGCAAGCGTACGCGTGGGTGTTATGAAAAAGTACTGGAGGAATTTGAGAGGAGGAGGAGGCTAAGAGCTGGCATCGAGCAACGGCGGAGAAATCCAAGGGTGCGTAATTTATTATTATTTATTCTCCCCTTGTGAACCCGATCGTTTTGTTCTCGCGTTGCGCGGCGTTCTTTCACATTCTACGACAAAATTGAAATTAAAATTCGTTTCTTGAATGAGGCACGTTCTTGTGAAATGTTTAATAAAGTGGAACAAAGGGAAAATTATAAGATGAGAGATTTTTTTTCTCGGAGTGTAATTATATTACGAGATACCTCTAGAATTAGCTAACCCTTTGGAAAAAGTGCAAGGAAAAGTGCGTGAAGTAGCTATTTCCGAAATATTAATTATTTTGAGTGCCGTTTTAATGTGAATTGTACGTTTATATTTACAGATTGATACAATTCGCTGCTGCGCTTCGTACCGGTGAGTTAAATTATCTTATTTTATTTGAAGGCAATGAATCTCCGGAAGAGTATTGCAAATAAATATGTAACATCGCGGTTCTTCATTACTTTGATCGGCTGAAACAAGGTAAATTAGTATCAATGTACAAATTCCAAGGATTAAAGGTTATTCTTTATTCCTTCGAATTTGTGTTTATCACACGACTTATGAATTTTATTTGCAGTATCAATGTCTTCTCTATGATATCTGGAATAGTACAAACACGAGGCATATTTAATTTCGACGCTCTTAACGCACACGAGATAACAAATGGTCAAGAATAAACGTTCTGTAATATTTTCCAACAAAAAGACGTTAATTTCCGAGTTGCTTAAGCGGCTTAGCCGATGTAAATAACTTAAACCACTTAAGATAACTGCGATCCTCTTATCCGCCAGGCAATTTTCATATTTCCTTTATTATCTCCCGCGAGTGTTGTAACCCCATCGCGGCAACCTGCCGTCGCAAATCATGGTGTCACACATGGCGCGATAAGGCGGCATATACGGCGATAACTATTCCCGTCGAGCGGTCCGCGGAAATGCGATCGTTTTTCCGCCGTTATTCGCGTCACGTCGACCCTTACAATTGCTTTTTGCGCCGTTTACACGAGCATTGGTTAGCACCAAAGTTTTCTTTACCTCTTACGGTGGAATTGTGGCAGTTTTGGTATCAGCGATCGCGCGCCGATTTCGCATGGACACGTGGCGGCTTGTATTAGTCCCTCTCGGCGACCGGGATCGTTTAACCGGTAATCCGGCGCGGAAGCAAATAAGTTAAAGTTCGCAAACTCGTCCCGTCGTGTAAACTTAAAGTACTTGGCCAAAACGTTTAGAGGAGACAAGCGCGCGTGCCCGCACGCCGACGACGACGACGTTATACGATGGGAAAGTTTCCGAAGACGCCATTCTCGTATCTGGCTCTAGGCGTTTTCGACGATGTACCTCGTTCGCTTCCTATGTAAATAGGTAGTGCCTTGCCTCCGTTAAATTATCACTAGTCAGGGCGCCGTTTAAACGCGCGCGCTCGCGACTCTAATTCGCCCTCGCGCAGATTCGGGGCTTACGCGGATTAAGCGTTGCGCGCGGTATATTGTTTCGCGAACCAAGTTCGATAACGGCTCAAGTGTCGTTATTCGTTGCTAATAATTACTACTCTCTCTTATCCAAAAATATAAATTGTACCTCCGGAAGTACGTTTGCGTTTTTAAACACTCATAAAAAATTAATTTGTCCCCGCTTGAAACGAAGTTTGTGTTGCAAATACAGAAATATTGAAATATATACTTGTACCCGAAAAGTAAACTGTCGTAATTACATAATTATCGATTTTGACGTTTTTATCTCAACTGAACGCTCTAATTATTAATCTTATTAATTATTTTGTTATTTGTTTGAAGTAAAATATTTTCAAACAAACTTTAAAATATTATAAAAAAAAAACTACTTGTAGAAGTGCAAGTTGATTTCAGCTCTCTGTATAAATTTGCTATATGTCGGTTACGACAGTTGACCTCTCGGGTGAATATATATGCAGAAATAAACACATTTACTTATTAAGAACGACAAAATGAAAGTTTTTGTCACATTTTCATAATATCAAATGTAAATGGCAGTACACGGAAAACTGATTTATCTCGATATACAGCGCGAGAGAGAAATTCTTCACAAATTTATTCACTCCTTGCTTTTGACGTTGCGTAATCTAGTATGGTTGCACCAGAAGGTTAGAAATTGGAATTTATAGTAAATCATTCAAGGTGGAACGCAAACATATATGCATATTTAGGAAAGATTTGAATAATCTGAATGGCAATTCCGAAAATTCTCAAAATTCTTCTCTTGTATACTATACGGCGAATACTTCGCACTGCTGTCTTCCTATTTTTTAAAACTTTGCTTGGTTTTTCTTTCAACGCAAAAATTTAAGAGCAGCGAATGCCAAATACATCCGTGTATATTTTTATTATGATACCGTGATGAAGTGTTAGAAATGTTAATTCGGAGAGGATAATTAATTAATTAAATGCCTGATAATTGGCGTAATAAACAAAATATCATACATAATAATATCTTTAGGTTGCCAGTAATAAATAACAATGAATAAGTTTAGTCGACCTTAACTGGCACGTGTTTAATAAAATAAAAAAAATACAGTGCGACGTTTCGACCAAGGGTTTAGGTCCTTCTCAAGCACATTCTTAAAAAGAATCAAGCCAATGTAATGTGCAGTCAAATGATAAAAATTCATAGGAGATGAGTCACGATTATAAAATTAGCAAGCACAAAGATAAAATATGTGCGCTGTCTACGAAAGCCGGAGAATTACTGATATCCTACGTTACACAAGAGAATAGGCAAATTGTTCGCACAATCGAAAAGGAGTCTTTATCGGCGTTTAACCGCACGTTAACGTTCTTGCGTCTTTTTCGGTTCTCTCGCGATGGACTCGACCTACGATCTAATGCTTTATCGTTCGCTTCGAACTCGACCTCTCGACCGCAAATAATATTATAATACATACGAAATGAATACAAATCTGTCGATAATAACGTCGCAATTCAATCGTTACATTCCTACGATACCACGATTTCATTTTGAGAATGGGGGGGGGGGTAAATTAAAGCTAAGAAGGAATTTTATAACAAAGATAAGATGAAATGACACTTCAATATCGCCAGCTTCCGAAAGTATGCATTATCGCGAAGTTAAAGTCTAATATCTGAGATCTCGCAGTCATAACATCAGCGTCGTGTCGTTAAATATTCTGACGGGGACGCTCACGATATTCCAGATGATCTCGTAATTTTCCCCGGACAATGTTCCGTTCGCTTCCCTCGGTTATCGCTCTGAGAGAATGGAATTTGTTGCGGCAAATGGATATTTATGTGACGTACATCTACGAGAGAGCTCGAACGGGTTTACGCGGCGTGACTGTCGAGAGGCGAAGAGGGACAATCTCATGCTCAATTTTCTAAATAGATCGAGTATAAAGTACATCATCCATCGCGTCAAAGCATAGAGCGATAATGCATGCAGTGCGTGTAGCAGTTTCCCAACTGATTACTTTCATCGTCAAACTGATACACCAGTGATTTAATGTACTCATTTACCGCTACACTTGTACCATCAATTTTTATTTCGTCGACAATTAATCTAAACACGCGTAAATTTCATACATGCAACCGACGATGGTATCGGGAAAATGCTATTACACTCCATCTTCAAAAATCGATTTCTTTAAGAGCCCCCGGGTAGGTCGAGCGTGGTAATGGCGCTCTTGCTTTTAATCGTATCCATTAATCGTTATTTCCGCGGCTGAATATGCCGGTGCGCTCGCACTGCGCCGGACGTTATTCCTTTACAACGAGGCGTTCCTTAATTTATTTACTACTGTTCGCGACGGCCGTACACCCGGGAACAGTTTTCGGGAGGCCTGCTTTTTCGGTGTTACTGCCTACGTTCGACGCATAGATTGCAATTTAATTTCCCCACGTTGAGACTTTGATGCCGAGGACACAATTTTCGAGTTGAATTTGCCTCGACACTTGGTGAAATTGTCTCTACGCTCACTCGCAGCCGTACGAATATGAAGGTACGATAAAGTTTTCCGATTCTATACAGAATTAAAAATTGAGAGCACCGAAATTACACCGAGCCCAGGCGGTTCTTGACTCTCACGCCTTGCCGCGTCTTCGCTTCTCGGGTTTAATCGACGAAATGTGATAAGTATAAAAATGAACAGCCGTCTCATTGTGTGACGCGCCCGGTAGAGATGTTCTTGCACGCAGGCATCGGCCGTTTGCCAGTGTTCGAAATCCAATTTCTTGCCGGCGGAAACACTGGGAAACAATGCGTCCTCGTTCTGCCGCTTCGATCCTGGAGTCCCTTCTTAATCTTTTAGTTCTCAGCCGTAAAGTGTCCGGCTATAACAAGTTACGGTCCTGGAAGTGGAGCGGCTGTGCGAGTGTAGTGTAACAGAAGAACAGAACGCCGTCCCTTCGTCTCGCGACTTTCTGTTGGTTGTAACTTCGTGGAACGATACTTTGCAGCTCTTGCCAGCTCGAGGCAGGGCGCGACATGGAGACGTCAAAAGATCAGCGTCGATCGGCAAAAACGCGACATCGCGACAACGTTCCCGCGCGCATATTATTGTCGAAGAGATCGGCCAGCTATTTCTGCTGAGAAGGTGAAATTTGGAGCGCACGGTGTCCCGGGTAAATTTTCCCGTCGTATTACCGTCTCTGAGACGGGGATCAACTGGACGATACGATTGGTCGCAACGTAAACTCGATTCCCGCTGTCGGGGCGTGCGATCTAGTGGAAACCCAAACACATCGTATTCGGCGACTCGGCAAACGTATCTCCCGGCCGCGATCCGGTACCGCTGAGTACCTCTCGGACGATATCACAGGACGTGAAATCCGATTCTCAGTAGCCGCGACAACGACGTTCTTGTCCGCGTGTAGCGTGGCACAATATAGGTACGCCAGGAGAGACCCCAGCGGTTGCTGAAGCGAGAGGCTCGCTCGGTCACGGGGTGCGCGCCGAGGAGAGACGAGGCAGGTTGTTGTAAGCGAGGTGAGGAACCGGCAGGTTCAGCCCGGCGCGGTTTCTCCTCATCTTCTCTCGCCGCTCTCGGCGCTCGCCGATGCTGGACGGCCCGGTTGTACTCGTGGTATCCGAGTACCTACTCGAGTCTCGGCTCTCCCGGTCCCTTTAGCCTTGGATGGAAAGCATTGACCTCGACGTTCCACGCCGAGGGCACAACCGGTCACGTGAACCACGGTCTACTACAAAATACTCGTTC